AACATAGAAGTTCAAGAGAAACTTAGAGAAGATATCCAGAAAAACATATTGGATGTAAATAATATTTCTTTTGAGGAAGTTATGAGTTTAAAATATTTGGATTGTGTCGTTAAAGAAACCTTGCGCTTACATGGACCTGCACCACTTTTAGGCAGAAGGACCATTAGTGCAACAAAATTTGGTGAATATGAAGTTCCTGCAAATACAATCCTACGAACTCATGTTAGCAGTATACACATGAATGAAACTATTTATCCAGATCCTCATTCATTTAAACCTGAAAGGTTTATGACAGGTTAGATTTCTACAGGCTTAATTTTGTATTATAAAATTAAAGTATATGTATTACGGCTATGTGATAAAGTAGGTGTGATTGTTTTGCTTTATCATAAACAAAGCGATAATGTGAGTAAACTTTTTTTGTTCAAAAAGTTTTGCATACTTGTAATTAAGTGAAAATCAAATAATTTTTACGTGAACTTCTTAGTTAATAATAAAGCTTTGAACTTTATTAATTAATCAATATGTCTTCTATAAAATTATGTTAAAAAATTATATTTTATTTCGCACCTAATCTCTTTAAGGTGTGATTTAAATTCCTTTCCATCCCTGCGTACTAACAGGCCTTTCAATATTCTCATTTCTTTTTTTAATAATTGCTAGAAATGTCTGAAGCATTTTTTAAATTAAAGTATAGTTATTACCTAGTGTATTGACACAAAAAATATCACAAAGTTTTCCGGTTTCCTTATAAAATAATAGTATTTTGCTGTTTTCTTCTCCAACTTTAATATCAAGGAGCTCATATGATGGATGTGTTGCAAAAACTTTTTTTGTTGCACCGAAAAATATTGAAAAACAAAATTACTCTACTTTGAATTGAATGCAACACTTCTTTATTATATAAATAAAGTAAAAACAGCTGTTGATATTGGATCGCCACTACTTATTTGTGATTACAAAATTACCCTTTTTAAATTTGAACAAGCAAAAGCTATTGCTTTATATATATTAATAGCTTGTGATGTATGCTTTGAAAATGTATGTATGTATGTATGTGTGTATGTATGTATGTATGTATGTATGTATGTATGTATGTATGTATGTATGTATGTATGTATGTATGTATGTATGTATGTATGTATGTATGTATGTATGTATGTATGTATGTATGTATGTATGTATGTATGTATGTATGTATGTATGTATGTATGTATGTATGTATGTATGTATGTATGTATGTATGTATGTATGTATGTATGTATGTATGTATGTATGTATGTGTGTATGTTTGTATGTATGTATGTATGTATGTATGTATGTATGTATGTATGTATGTATGTATGTATGTATGTATGTATGTATGTATGTATGTATGTATGTATGTATGTATGTATGTATGTATGTATGTATGTATGTATGTATGTATGTATGTATGTATGTATGTATGTATGTATGTATGTATGTATGTATGTATGTATGTATGTATGTATGTATGTATGTATGTATGTATGTATGTATGTATGTATGTATGTATTGGAATGCAAATATTCGCGTGCCAATGCTGCTTTGCATAACCAATTTAATTACCGCAAAAGTTCAGTTATTAACTTTATGCTGATTTCCAAAAGAACTAAGATTGCTTGTTTGATATTACGTCATATAAATATTTGATGTTACACAATGAATCTACTAAGCAAGTGACTGTTTCGCACAAGTGTCTTTAAGAATTGAAAGTTCCACCGATAAAACAATTGTTCTTACTTGATCAAAGAAACTCTAATCGTATGTTTATTAGTGGTGTTGATAAATTAATAAAAACCAGACCGCAGATTCATATAAAAAAAGCATGCTAATAACGATCAACTTTTGAAACATAGATCAGAGCAAGCTTAGAAGTTAATTTTTCAAGAGTGGATGATACTAAGACGGAATCAAGTGAAAAAAATAATGATAGTGATCTCAATGATATTGATTTCAATAATAGTGATCTCAATGATATTGATCTCAATGATAGTGATCTCAGTGATAGTGATTTCAATGAACATTTTCTTACGAGTAAATTTACGAGTAATCTTTACCTAAATTGTTATTTTTTTAAACTGGCTCCAGCCCCAGACACATATTTACGTGTTTACGAGGCCACTTAGTATAGACAGCTATTTTTTTTTTCCAAATGATTTTTTATTAAATCACAAACTTTTGCATACAGTTAGAGAGATAGGTATCCGAACAAAATGATTTATTGTGAAAAAAGCAGCCGTGGCGCAGTGGTTAGAGTTCTGGCTCAGAACCCAGAGGTCCCAGGTTTGACGCCAGCTCTAGCCCAACAAGCGACATTGGTACGGAAGGAGGCGTGAACTTCCTGTTAAATGCTCTCCCGCGGTGCTCTATGATAAGACCGTAAGGACTTCTGGGAGCACCTAAATACATACAAAATAAATAATAAAGTATAATCATAAAAAAAGATTTTTATGAGATAACTGCTACCTTAGTTATAAGAAAGTTTTTGTTTAAAAGCAAACAATAGCGCATTATTTTAACTTTTTCATACAAATTTTTCTTGTTTCCGGACTTCCGAACCTGCATGGAAAGATTGTTGTTGTAAGCGCTTGCCTATTGTTCCATCAAGTTGTATTTTTGTTTTTATTAGATTTTCTTTTTTTTTTTTTTTGATATGCCTGGTTAAAGTTTTGCAAAATTTGATTGCTCAATTTTAAGAATAAACAATGATTTTAGCATTTTTAAAGTACCAATCCCTACTAATGATGCAAATAAGTAATGGAGTAATGACATTATTAACTTTATTCTTCAAGACAGACTTGTTGATGATTCTTTAAGAAAACAAATTGATTTTTTCAAACTATAATTTCTTTATATTCTTGCTATTTTAGATATATTCTTCTCGAAAAAACATTAAAGGATGGAGCATTGCCATCATTAAATCTCCTTATGAAATGTATTTTATTGCTACGAGGTTCGTTATCCATTACAAAACGTGAGAAATTTCTAATAAATCAAGAGTTTATTTCTTAAATAAAATGCTGTTTCACAAATCTTTTAATGATTTTATTAAGTGTATTTTAAGTTTCTTTCTTAGTCATAATTAAAAATAATTTTCGGATGATAAATTAGCAATAATTACTTGTAATTTGCCAGATCATATTTTACCTAAGTATGGAATTTATGATGATGAGTTTCTAGATTATGGTATACAAGTTTTTTGGTTAGATGTTACAAAATGATCAATACCTTTAATAAAAAGTATCTTTTTTTAAATGTTTTTTATCAAAATTTGTAATTCATATTGAAACTCTTGTTCTTTGTTAAGATATTGAAGTAAAAAATTTAGACATAATCAACCAAAATTTTAAATTTAAAAAGCATGATTTACCTTAAAAATTTAATTACTTGACTTTCAAACTCCTTTCTTATAAACCAAACTTAAATGAAGATGAGTTTTATTATTCACTCAGTTGTAGCATTTTATAACAACCCTAAAGTTTTAGTACTTTATGCTATTCTTTACATCTTAAAACCACTTACTCCAATTTTCAAAGCGTGTGAACAACCAATGTTTTCTAATTATCGCCCAATTTTTTTTGTCTGTTTTTTATTTCAAGTTTTAGTGAGAATTTCATATAATGTAATTTATAAAAACCTTCCTTCAAAAAACATACTATATGTTAATCAATACGGATTCAAGACAAATAACTCATCAGATTATAATCCAAATTATTCGCAATATTTCTGAACCTTTTGAAAAATTTCATTTCACGTTAAGAGTTTTTATAGATTTATCAAATGTTTTTGATATAATTAATCATAAAAATCTCCTAAAAAACTGGAATATTATGGAATTAAAGGAAATGCTTTAATGTTACTTAAAAGCTATTACAGCAACCGTATACAGTTTGTTTATTGTGATTTTACTGACCCATCCAATCTATTAAATACAGCCTGTGGTATTCCCTAGAGTTCTATAATTGGACCCCTTCTCTTCCTCATTTACATCAATGATTTACATAAAGCTTCAAACTTGATTGCTGTCATGTTTGCAGATGACACTTATCTCTTTTTATCTGATAACAATATTACAATATTATTTTAAAATATGAATGTTTTTTTTTTCGCCATATAAAGTTATTAAAGTTGAAAAGCATAATATAAATATAAATTTTAGGGGCAAGAAGAAGACATAATTAGACTTATCACCAAGCCCCTTAGTCTATACCGTAATTATAAAACAAGAAAAATTAAAAACGTAACGTAATTAAAAACGTAAAAATCGTTACGTAACGTAGCATACTTTAAAATAGAATACGTTTTCCTGAACACTTAATAAAATAAAAATCATCGGTCCTAAAGTCCTACTTTAACTTTTTGTTTTTGTATTTGTTAAGAAAAATTAAAAAAAAAAAAGAAAAAAAAAATTATTAGTACAAAGAAACTATATTTCTAAAAAGTATGCAAGCAAATACACATAATCCTGATGCATTCCTTTTACACCAGCATATATCTTGGAATATGTGAATAACTCTTATAAAACATAATTTTTTATACATATTTAAAAAAAAAAAGGATTGAAGCAATAAAAAGTGGCAGCATCCTTTTCTAAGATCGTCAATCCGATAATGAAAGACTCTAATTGTTGGGTAAATTTAACAGTAGCAATCATTAAACCTTCAGAAAAAGATGAGCGTTATGTCAATAATCAGTAGTTTTTGCTTTAATTTGCTCTTAAACTCATTAAGCGTAGCTTTTGTTTTAAGTTATTAGTTAATATTTTATTCCATATATTTTGCCGTCTAGTAGAAATTGAAAATTCAGTCGCCGTAAAATAACCTTTGGGTTGAATATATCGGGTAAAACCTGGTTAAATATCTATTCTGATTTAGTTTGAATAATGGGTATAATATTTTGAGAGAGATATTTTTATTATTTTTGAACATAAATATAAGAATTTGATAGGCATTTATTTAACAAACATTCATTATATTTGAATTAACAAATAATGTTTGGGAGCGTGTATAATGCTTGCTTTTGTTTATTAAATAGTTTTTAACTTTATTTTTATTTGTACTGCACCAAGTAATACTTGCATAATTAAAATGGCAATGAATGAACAAGAAATATAAAAATTTGATCAATTTGGATCTAAAAAAGGCTCAGTTTTGCATAGCAGGCCTATGTTCCTTGAGATTGTACTTTCGAGATATTGTATATGATCTCTCCACGTCAGATTTTCATTAAGAAGCACGTCGAGAAGTTTTAAAGCGGTTTCTCTTTTTATAT